AACTCGCGTTTGCGAATCGCGAATAACCGCCATCAGTGCGGCCCGTTTCGAGATGCCGTTTGAACGGCGTCCGACAGGCTCGATGCTTGTTAATTTATGTAATACGCGATTCGCGATTTTGCGCACCGCTGCCTCGGCTAAAGCTCTCGGGCCAATTTAATGGATCCATTTACGTGGCTCGCGGAGGCTCTATGAATTATGCGTCCGTCTCGCGCGGCTCGATAAAACGCGGCTGATCTCAACGAGCTCACGCTCGTTGCACCACTTCGAGTTTCTCGATTGAGTCTTTAGCAATCGAGCTTTTGGAGTACGATCAATGGAGGCGACACTGAGTGTACGCGTAAGATATAATTGATTCACAATTAAAAATTTAATTGCGAGATTAATTGCATCTGGGAAATTGGTCGCACGGTTAATACAGAGATTAAACGAGATAAAAGAAATGTCCACTTCAAATTACGTTTCTCCACTGTGTCTTTAGTAATTTGATCGTCGATTAAGTGTTCGCGCAATTAACGGTGGAAATAAGCGCGACGGCGAACTTGTCGATAAGATTCGCACCGCGGGATTTCCATCGTTGGACGCGAGACTTGAACGTTGCGACTTGCTCTCGCGCGGCTTTTGTTTTCCCCGCTCTTCTTCGTTTTCTTTTCTCTTTTTTTTTATTTCGTGTTTGGCGACGTAAAAAAATGTGTGGACTCCGCCCGACATGTAACTAAATAATTGCGCGCTACGGCGGACGTCGAATGGGACAAAGGATAACAGCCAATTATTGCAACAATGAGCCGGCGGAAAGTTAGCCGGTGCGCGAGTACAATCGAACGGACAAAAGCCGTTTCGACGATGACGTGATTTTTATGCGACGATAGTAATGAGCAATTATTTCTCGCGCGGCACGCGCGCGGACGTCGATTATTTCTCGGACGTGCGTCATCGGGTCCTTGCAAAACGAATCGTGACGAACGGCGCTTGCTTTTGCGTCCGTAATAAAGCGTTAATTGTCGGAAATACCTTCGAAAAATTGAGACGAACCGTCACGTCTGTCCGGGAGACACTGTCTGTCGATTTAATTGCTGTCTTACCGAATTCCCCTCATCTATTAACGTCAATCCATTCTAATTTATTCTCTATTCCGTCTCTCTTTAATTCCGTCAATTTGGATTCGCATTTCTTAATTCCCGTTAATTGTTTTCCATTTCTGCATCTCTCGTGTGACCCGCTCGTTAAATCGAGTGTTTCATTTTTGTACATTGTAGTTTCGTTACATCTACTTTTCTAATTAAGTGTCTCGTACTTTGGAGTTATCACCGTTTCATTGGTAATCCGATCGATCTTTATTCTCGTTTCATAGTTCTTATTGTGTCAATAGTGAATTAATTATCCTCGAAGTGCTCTCGTAATGCAAGGAAATGCCGGGCGATTATTTTACAAATGCGAGACTGGATAGATCGTCGGAATAAAATTCGCTTTAATTACGCGAGCTAACCACATTTCCAGCTATTAAGGACAGCCAGTGATCACCGAACATTTTCAGGATGCGCGCTCCATATTGGAAATGGAGCTTAACGGCTGAATATAATACGCGATCCGATAACAACGCCAGGCACTCTCGCGAGCACAATAATAATTAAACGGTGATTTTTGCAAATCGCCCGTTGCAAATTATGTCCGGGTGTTTCGACGGTTCTCAATTTTCCTACCACTTGCGAGGCTAAATTATCTTCGTCTACCATCTCGATCGTGAAATGCATTACGCATTTAAATTTTTGAAATTAAAAAAACGTCAGTTTTTACAAATTAGAGAGAAATACCCGAAATACGAAAAGAATGGAACATTTAAACACTTGAAAACGTTTAATCTTTAATAAAAGATGCAAGCTCATCGCACATCTTTAAGATTCAATGATACAAAATATAAAATTTGAAGATTTTCGATCATATCCTATTTTACTTTTAAAGATATCGATCGAAATAAAGATTTTAGGAGAAAAGAATTATAAGAGGAAAAAGCTGCGCTTGAAATTGTCGGTTGCGGAAATTAATTAATCTTGAATCAACTTTTACACTCAATTTCAATTTCAAGTGCGATTTTTCTTTCTGATCCTGCGTCCTCAAGTTTCCCGTATCGCGCTAGTTTTGCATATTAGCTCGTTGTCGCGAAAAATTTAAGGATCTTATTTCACTCTACACTGTCTCTCATATTTCAACTCCGCGTTGGCGCGGTGTGTTTCACTTTTGTGAAACACACCGTGAGTGTCTTGAACTTTTCCCGTGTCCTCGGGTCCTCGAATGTTTCTCGGTGTCTTTATTAGCCTTCGGAAGTTTGCTACAGAACGGAGAATTCTCCTTAGAATCTGTACTAGTTCGAAATTATCTCGGCGAAGAGGGACGAACGGTCGCCGGCCCGATGATGGGTCACCGGATAGAGCGACGGGGGAGGGAAGGGAACGCTCTTTATTAAAAATTCTTATTCAAAGTCCACCCGTAACAGAGGCTCGTAAAAGAAGTCCTGCCAATGCCGGAAGAGCTTTAATAAAGGAATTCTTAATGGCGGCCGCGAGATTGCTGGTCCTTGCTTTCTATGTCGCTGCTCCGGCCGAACCCGAAGTGCGACGGGTCGTCTCCTTCGGTTTATTAAAAGATCTTTTATTTACGACGATCCGTACCGCGACGGCGACGGGAAAATCTCACATGAAAGTTTCACACATATGGTGGCTTTGAATGTTTACCGACGCGAACTAGGCCGGGATTCGGCGGCCACTGAGAGGAGAAGATGCTTGAATCTTGAAACGTTACGATAGCCATCATAGAGAGTTAGACGTCTGACTTGGACGATCGTATCCGTCAAATTTTCAAGGTAAATTGCAGTCCTGATAATTGATGCGCCCGAGATCGAATCCGAGAAATTGCAATCAACCGAAATACGAAGGTCAGGGCGTTATCCTGAGAATAGAAACGAGTCGATCGCGCTTCTCTAATTATAAAGGGTATGTCTTTAGCGGATTAAGGGGTGGCGAGATATTTGTTTCAAAATATCAAACCGAGTACCAGGAGAGCGAAAGACGCGAGGAACTAATCGCGTGGCAAGTTGGCGGTTAACGCGCAACAGGATCCGAGAATGGAGAGCCGGAGCCACTTAGAGATCGGAGAATTAAAGAATGAGAGATCCTTTTTCCGGGACGGCGACGGCGACGGCGACGGCGACGACACTCGGAAGACGCGAGGACGGAAACTTCTCTCAGGATCTCTCTTAGCGGGCAGCGCGCCGGCGTTCACCCCAAGTTTGCAGGACCCGTGCGACTGGTGTCTCTTTGATCCGCGGGCAAAACGAAAGTGGATTTGCGTAGTGCACTAGAAATTGAATTACGTGGAGGGTTTTCTTTGCCTCTCGCGGGAGCGCGCATCGTCGTCGAATCCTTGATCTTTCATCAGCGGGAGGAAAGAATTCCCTCGTAACGGGCCATTCATTGCGCCGAGCGGACGCGGAATGAAAAATCGCGATGAAAATCCGATCGTCGCGAGAAATTGAAGATAAGGGATTCTCGGGGAAGTTCATTCGTTCTCGTTGAAACGATAACAATAACAATCGCGCGCGGTGAAGTATTCTTTTTCAGAAAATAATCGATGGGACTAGAGTAACAAAATCTAAATAACTAACTAAATCTAAATAATGGTATCATTTTCTAGCAGTGTAACTCTTTAGCGGTGTTTGCATATTATGTTGTGATAGTAATTAATCAACGAAAAATAAATATTTTCTTTTATACATATATATGTGTGTGTGTGTGTGTGTGTGTGTGTGTGTGTGTGTGTGCGTACAAATTAAAGATATGTATATATATATATATATACACATATATATGTTACAATATATTAATAACAGTATATCAATAATAGAGAGAGGAAAAGATGCAGAATTATTAAGTAAAATATTTATTATGATACAATATTCTATCATTATTTATGTCACTGTGTCATATTGATGACAAATGTGTCTGCATAAAGAATAATTAATGTTGCGATCATCGTTAACGGCAAAACGCGTTATTTCACCATAATGGTGTAGATGATGGTGCAATAACAGCGATAAATTAACGCGGCTGTGGCGGCAATATAGTCCGGAAGATTTATTTTCGCGAACGGTTCAATGCTCCTGATTCTTCCTTCGAGTGTTTGTCGAGGAGCGCTCGTTCCCTCGACTTTTATCTTTACGGCGAAACGAATGCTCTCAAGAACAACCATCGATATTCCCGTCCGGAAATATCGGGCTTGTTCTCGAGAGCGACGTACTCCGAGACGCGATCGACCGCCTCTTTGATAATTTATCGCCCCTGAAATATATTTTGTCTTCTTGTTTTGTCGTTCTCAAAATTCCCACCCGATAAATTCAGCCGCGTGTTCTTATTTTTCGTCGTGAAAGATTAAACCCAGAAAATAGGGAAGATAAAAGTGACATTTTTTTTTCACAGAAGGTTGTAATTTATGGAAGAAAATATGCTGTCTTGAATAGAGAAAAGATTAAGAAATAAAATATGAAACATTCTTTTTAAAGACGCTTGCCGCCCTTTTGATTACATTCTCCCGTTTAATTATATCTTATTTCGTGTTATATTTATTTATAATTACCCGCGCGGGCGATGCCCTTTCGAAAATGAAGAAATTCCACAATGTATATCAAATCATCATTCTGTTTATATTTGGTGGCAACTTCTCGAGACGTCCGTCTGAATTTAATTTTGACGTTTCTCTCTTGAGATACATTAGGACAGAGTTTTTTTTTCTACTTATGTCTTGCGCGATGTATTTATTCTGAAAATTTCAAAGAAACTTCCGACTAAATATCTCAATTAAGAAACTCTGTCATCGCGGAGAGTCTTTTGTATCTTTGACACAAGAATTGAAAATATATACACGAACATCGCAAAAATATGTCGCAATATAAAAATATAATAATAAATTATAAATTTTTAATACGTTTTTGCTGTGTCTTTTTTTCGCAGGTACAAGGATAATAGAGCCTACCCTTGGCCGGGGAGCACGAGCCACTTTATCCTGTACCCGGAGAGCGCGAATCAAACGATCTACACACAGGAGATGAGAACCTCGGACGCAGGACGATACTCCTGTCTGGCGCGTAACGACACAACCACTTTGGAGGGAGACATCACTCTCACCGTACTCAGTAAGTAGGACATTCTAGGATAAAGCTGATGGCATTCATCCATCAGCCTATATTAAAAGCTCGAAGCACGTTTCCGAGAGGGGCTGTTAGTCTCGCGTTATGCTAATAGCGAACGATTACGAGAACTGTCGATCCGTCTTGATCCCTTCTGCGCCAATCTGAATCTTCACTTTATTCATTTATTATTTTATTTCATTTATTATTATTCATTTATAATTATTATTCGTTTATTATTAATTATTATTATTCGTTGTTGTGTGTATGCCTTTGTTCTCATTTTATATCATTAACTTTGATTATCGTCATATCTTTATTTATTATCATGAAGTTTTGCAACCTATTTGACTTTTGCAAAACTGCCTGGATGTGAATTATCTGAAAATTTCCTCAGTTGAATTTCGATTTTACATTAAACTTGCACAAAAATTCCATCGAATTTGGAAAAATCTATAACTAGGTTATTATCCTACCCCCCTCCCCCCCCCCAATGCTATCGCGCATAATGCCATTTTATGCATATTGAATTATCCTTGAAAAAGACCCGTTTGAAAATTATTTTTTATTCACGTATCTCTCGATATTTCATTGAGGCGGTAATTTTTACTCTCAATTTCAGTAAAAAATGTATTATTTACTTACTCAACTACAAATATAGAATATGTACCAGAAGCAGATATTAAGTAATTTACTCAAGATTAATGGATAAGTCTCTCTCTCTCTCTCTCTCTCTCTCTCTCTCTCTCTCTCTCTCTCTCTCTCTCTCTCTCTCTAATTAATAGAGAAATAAAATAAATTCCGTTTCTTCGTAATCTCTCTATTATTTATTTCTTGTACTGGCGTTGGAAATGTATGTATATAAAATATATATTTATACATCTGCAAATATATGATGTATCTCCGTCCTCCGTTTTGGCTTTTCCGTGCAACAATCTATTTCTGGCTGCATTGTCATGGCACCTGGGATACTACATTAGTTCCTGCCGCTGACGTTCGGGTAAATACGACTTGATCGGAAAAATACGTGTTAATCAACGTGATGCCATCCAGAGTCTGATTAAATATTTCAAGAGTGGGCTAAAAAGTTCATGTAAATTTAACGGTCGGTATTGACGAAGTACGCGTCGCGTGACAATATCCAAATAATGAAACGGGACATAAATATCCCGCGGCAATCGATAGCAATTGTCGCCCCACCATTGCGCGGCCGAGAGTGGTGACAACAATCAGCGCTATCAAAATATCGCCGACCTTGAAGGTTGAAGGCGCTCGAATCTACCTTCGTGCGTCGAGAGTTTTTCTGGATGTTTTCATTATCGAGCCGGCGAGCGATGCGCGCACATCATGGGCTGAGTGTATCGGTATATCGTTATCATTCCCGTCGTGTGATTAAAATATTGCGTCGGTCCTTGGATATATACTCAGTCTCTCATCGGCATCGCGTTACTTAACACGTGTTTCCTCGATCGAATCGTATCTACGCGAGTGTCAGTGTCAGTGTCAGGACGAGGATGCGCCAGGATACGAGATCGGAAAGCTAGGAAGGAGGTCGCAGAATACTGGGAATCCTGGGGAGGCAGCGATACATCATATATTTCCAACGTATGTGAAATTATTTATTAAACGGGATTCTTCCGTTTCTCATTTTCCGGGCTTTTGACGAACTTCACCGCCAAAAATCATCGAGTTGAAATTTAGGCCGGCATTCGTAGCGTTCGCAGTTAGTTGTTATTTAATAAACAATCGTAGTTTTATGGATTTCTATCAACAGGTACTTTTTTTTTACATTATTTCGCGAAAGAAATTTTAATCTAATCGGCCTTATAATGGTTCATATAACTTTGTAATTATGTTCTTGATAAGAGATTCCAAGTAATTTGCAGCTGTGAGTACCGACTTTAGAATCTAATATAATAATCGTGAATCTAATATTCGCGAGTGATGCTGATGTCTATGTCCAATAATGTTTCTCAAATCGCGAGTGTAATTCTTTTTTTACATCTGCAAACATCTTACTTAGATCACTCTTCTTTCACTTTCTTGCTCAATCATGTCGTTCTACGGAATTCAATTCTAAATTTCAATTGTCAAACAGCATTATTGGACATATAAATGTCATATTTGTCTTTGCAATCAGCTCTTTTAAGAGCTACAAATCTCACGGACATTTCCAACGCCAGAAGGAAAACAAAAACAGAAAAATTACGCACCTTAAAATCTCGATTACATTGTTGGATATTTGCTTATGTCATGCATTGTACGTGCAGTTGAATAATTTACGCAACTTATGTATTGCCGGTTAAAATCAAGAACAAAATATTACACGCGAAAATAAAATATTGAGACGATCGAATATTAAATAACTCTTGAACGAGCGCTTCTTTGAGCTTCTTCAATATCGAGAAAATGGCAGACATTTGCAGCACATCAAGGTAGATCGAGAATGATTGTAGAGTATTAAAGATTCTTTATTAATTCTTCAAGTTAGGCATAATTTGCAGGATTAATGTGGCATACAAATTTCGACTCGGATTTCGCATGTTTCAGAAGAACACACATGTTTCTTTTCTCGAAAAAGTTGTCACTTCACTTCAATCTCTTTATCGGACGACTCGAGGTTTCCCAATAAACGTTCGTCTTCGGGCGAAATGATTGGAAATTTGTTAAACGTTCGCACAATGACAAAAATCGGAAAAGCGCGCGCACTCGCCTCTGATTTGATTCGCTCGCCCGACTCTGTCGCTGCGAGGGAGAAAGAATCGCAAAAGCCACGGATAATTTCACTGAAGAATCGCTTTTGACGCTAGCCCGCCATTCGAAAATAAAAGAGGCTAGAGAGGGAAGGGGCGGAAAATGCCCCATGAGGGGACGAATTGTCGCGGAAAGCGCTGCAAAATGTCAATCGCCGTCGCCGATAGGAAACGATAACCGTGTTCCGCGTCAAAGAAGCTCGTTGTAATATTGTCACGTGTCAACATTATCCTGTAGGGTACACAATGTCCGCGCGCGTGTGACGCGGGGTATTCATGTTGAGATTTTTGAGATTCTTTCTTTTTTTTCTCCGGGAAACAATTTTTCTCCGGAGCAAACACGCATGGATACTTTGTAAGTTTCTTTCTTTAATGATTGTGTAACAAACATTATTATAGCGATTATCAAGGTCAATGCAAACGCTCAACATATCGAAGGTCACCATTATTTAACGAACGTTTTCAATTAAAAGATCAATCCACTTATCTTTTGGAGATCGAGAGTCAGTGACAGAATTATTTCGCTCGAGGTCGTATTATAATGAGGAATTTTTTGCTAAAACATAATGATGATATTACATATCGCATGATTTTATTTAACGAAAGAAAAGTGTCCCGCGAGCGGCTCGCTGCCAGTTAATTACTGCTAGTTATAAAACGTAAAGCGCGCCCCTGAAAAGATACGAAGCGCACTCTCGGAGAGAAAGAAATTCGCCATGGAGCTTGCGACTTGGCGAATAATAATCGTGCATTTGGCCGTTGCCAAGTTACAGCGATGCAATCGCATCCCTCGAAACAATAGAAGATAATCCTGCCGAGAACGCGTACGGGCGTACGCTGAAAAAGAGTATCGCGAAAAATACGGTTATCACCGCGCGTTTTAAGCGGAAAAATTTCGTCGGGTCCTGTTATCGGCCGGCCGGCCGGCCCGGTCCGAGCTTTCTCGCGGAAGTCGTCGTTACGGGTGCGTTTATCCCGCGACGCGATAACTCGAGATAACAGAGCCGCTGTGTTGCGCAATGTATCGACCCGGAATTTCAATTAAAGCTCGCCGCTCGTCGGATCCGACCGGTTCGAGCAGGCAGGACCGTCCGGGGGGAGCGCAGTCAGCCGCTTTTCCGGAGCGAGCTTTTCGTCCACGAGCGGGTTAAACCCGGCGGGGGGAGGCGTGGAACGAGCGGCACAAAAGTGTCGTGCATGGTCCATCTCGATTTTTATGACAACGGAGTTTTCCAATCTCGGAGAAAATAAAAGCCGACGAGCCTGACGGTATGGATTCCTGACGGTGTGGTCGACGAATTTTCGAACTCTGATAGAAAAATCAGGAAGGAAAGAGAAATAACGAGAAGGAGAGAGAGAGAGAGAGAGAGAGAGAGAGGATGTGTGAGAGATGTTTATACATATACACGTTCACTCCAGGATTCACATAACCTCCTCTGTCTATTTCTTTTTCTCTTTTTGATGCAAATAATATAAATTTTAGTCTATAAATTTCATCTTATTTGTCTCTCTCATGCGAGCTTCGTTTTAATTTCGTGTGAATCGTTTTAAATTTTTTAATCGATTCTCTTTTTACGTAATCCAATTTGTTATTTCTCATGCTTTCGCCGACGCAAGTAGTAATATATTTACATAATATTAAATATTCATAGACGCACACTGCATGAAGAAAGAGGGGGGGGGGAAATGACGTATTTACGCGTTACAAATTATAAAATTCGAATGTAAGTTGTGAACTTAAACAACGCGGGACGCGACACGTTGAGTAAAAGCAACGCACGAATGAGGGAGGGGTGGAAGAGAGCAACATGTGAGGAATTCAAAGGCGCTCGCTTCCGTTATCCGGGTTATTCAGCGAGGAGCGAGAGAAGCGAGAAGTTAAATTTCGTTGCATAATCGTGGAAAATCGTCGCGGTCGCGTACTAGAACTCAATGGGAAAGTAAACGAAGGAGGGTAGACGGGGGTGAGAGGTCGGGACAGGAGAAGAGAAAGAAGAAGGGGAAGAGCGCAGGAAAAAGAAGAAGAAGAAGAAGGGGAGGTTACCCTCGCCCTCGTTTTGGGAAATTCGCCCGGTCGTCTTTCCGAGGTTTGGGAACGGGGGGGGGGCAGTGCCGAAAGCGGCGAATTGCCGAGTTAATATTCATCGGGGGGAGCGACCGCGTGCATCCGGCCGTCTACGCTCCTAAACCCCCTCGATTTAGCGCGCATTCGTGCACCACCGTTTCCTCGTTCCGTTCGATACAGGCAACTTA